TCAGCCTCCTGATGAGTCGGTGAAACTCCGACGAAACAGTTTGTCACAGCCCCTCGTTTGTTGTCCTCTTCTCTCTCTCTGCCTACGGTTTACCGGGCAGTTCTATTTGTGACGATATATATATTTATCTCATTTAAATTTTAAAGTCATTTTATAATTTATATTCGTCTATTTCCAGGGGGACTCGAACTCAGGTCTGGATTTCAATTTTTCAACAGTTCGTTGGCACACCAACTGAGGGAGGCCTGTTGTTTGAATGGAATGGAACGTAGGTTGTCTGAGCTGTGTTAAAAAAACATTCAGCCAAGGCAATTGAGGGGGTGAGAGTATCTGACCGTCGCTTGCTGGAGGCGGGGGAGGGGGTGAGAGCATTGAGGAGAGGGTAACAGATGGGTTTTGCATGTCTTCATACCACGCAGTATGGCGGGGCATGCCCTTCATTTGTGAAAAAGAAGAAAGTTTCTGGGACTTTCTGCAAGCCATAATGATAGAGGATATGGTTATTAGTATTTACTGTGGGCGTTGCTCCAGTATCACAACACTGTACAGTGTACATGAATTTGCACGCTTTCTTGACCAGGTGCATTCGGACAAGTACAACATTTTGAATGTCTCAGGTCCAGAAAGCGTCCAAATGCATGTAGTGTGTCGTCTAGTGGAGCAAGGACCATTACATCCTTGGAGCTAAATCCAGTGAAAAAGGAAATCCAATTAAAGACATGCTGCCTATTAGCATCTGACCATAGGAGGGCTCATGGTCGAGTAGCTTCATAGCGAACCAGAAACCCTGCCTAAGTGGGTCTTTGAGCACTAATGTGCGGTGTACGGCACAGTGTGCAGTGCGGTGTACAGGACAGTCATGTGCATAATTTTGCACACGGCTGTGGTGTGCTGTTGACATGCGATCGCTGCCAGGTTTGGGACGATACTCTGTGTGTGTGTGTGTGTGTGTGTGTGTGTGTGTGTAGCACGAAGCGCCCTACTGCACGGGCCTTTGGAGGCCCGCCATTTTCCACTTGGCCCCCCAGGCTGCACAGCCCTTTAGTTGGGCGAACTGGAGGGTCACAGCCACTTTCTAGGCCGAGGCTCACATTTTGATGATTTTGTTCCATTTGCTTTTCTTTTATTCACCATTTATTTATCTATATTTATTTTTTCTGAGTTTTGTCTGGTCTATTTTTCTCTTCCAAATGTGTCGTTTCGGGCTTTTTCTTTTGTTGAACAGGCAGGTGTCTATTCGGACTATTGGATTCTATTTTTCGCCGTACTATGGTACGCCAGGTTCAGTTTTTTCCGTATCTGAGACTGGACGAGGCATTCGTCTGTTAGTGCCCTGCCCAGTCCTTGTCTACTCTGGACTGCCCTGCCGTATCAGCAGGGCCGTCTGGATGGCCGGTAGGGACATTAGGCAGGCCGTTTTAGGCCAGGATCGTAGGACCAGGACTTGGGCCTGCAATCAGGACCATCAATCAGGTACTTGGATCGGACAGTCCTGTCACAGACAGTGGAGAGCTCAGTCAGGCCCAGAGGTATATAGCTGGGCCAGTCCTCCAGTTTGGAGACATTGAGCTGGAGCACATTGTTGGGCATCACATTGCTGAATAGAAGCACCAGTTTCAGTTGAGCTGCCTTAGAGTAGCAGTTAGTGAAGGAGGAGGTAGAAAGGAGCGTGCAGGGTGGCGAGCCATAGCCACGAGGAGAGGTGGACACTTGCCTGGGCACCAAGCCGGGCTTTACTCCAGCGACCGGCATCAGAGGAACCACCATCTTCGCTGGTCAGTGTTTGAGGGCATCATCAGCATCAGGGGAGAGAGAGACAGAGAGAGACAGAGAGAGAGAGAGAGAGAGAGAGAGAGAGAGAGAGAGAGAGAGAGAGAGAGCTGTCTCTTATACACATCTAGATGTGTATAAGAGAMARGAGAGAGAGAGAGAGAGAGAGAGAGAGAGAGAGAGAGAGAGAGAGAGAGAGAGAGAGAGAGAGAGAGAGATTTCAGGCAGTGACTATTTTGGGCCTATGAGCGCCCAGGATCTGATTCGACATTCTGGGACAGACGATTATTGGACATTTGACGGGGGAGACTATTTTAGACTTCTTCGAGTCATTCTCTTGTCTTCTCCCCCTTCTTCCTTCTTCGTCTCCTCCCGACCTCCATCATCCGTAGTTTTTTCCCCATATGTGTGCACAAGGAGGGATCTTTCTTCCATGTATGCTCCCCTCCTTGCTGATTCGACATGTGTCATGATGCCTGTCTGAGTTGAGTCTCTCTGATGAGTCAGGTCAAGTCTTTGAGTCTTCCACTGTGCTACATCGCATCATATCGTTTCTTTTCTTCATCTGCATTGCTTATTTGTTGATTCCATTGCTTGTCCTGAGTCCTACACCTCACATTGGTGCTCTTTCGGATTTGCACATAGCCCATCTTCAGATGGGCATGCATCTGTGTGTGTGTGTGTGTGTGTGTGTGTGTGTGTGTGTGTGTGTGTGTGTGTGTGTGTGTGTGTGCGTGCGCGTGTTTTGTAACCTGTCACCTCAACAACCCCTTTTCCGCCCAGATGATTAGATTTAAACCACCAGTACGTTTCTCAGCCATTTTTTCATAGTTGCGGCTTGCAAGATGCCATAACTTTCGGGCGTCAGCAGCCGGAGCGGAATGGCTGGCAGCACCAGCCAAAACGAGGCCCGCGCCAGGTTGTTTTTTCTTCTGCGCACAGGCCATTTGGAGCCCCGGGCAAAATTGCTTTAGAAGTACTGGTGGTTTAAGATCGAAGCAGCTGTACATCTATTGCAGGCAATGAAGCACGCTTGAGATGAGCCGATCCGACACCATCAAGCAGAATAGATCCATCATATCCCTTTCTTCACTATCTTTCTGGCTTTCTTTTGTTCACCCCTTTGATGATTTGTTCTTGCAACTCCCCTCTTACTGTGCCCTCCAATGTACAAGAATGGCCATGTTGACTGTGGTTTAGCGCCAGCTGCCCGAATTCGCCGGATTCCCATGTGCCCGAACGGCCCACTTACACGCTATGAAAGGTGGCAGAGTAAAGGGGGAGGAAAGTGGTACACTTGTGCGCTTTCTTAATGAGCCCACGTTCCGAAGTGCTTGAACCACAATCAACGTGGCCAGCTTTGTACATGAGCGACACAGTAAAAAGGGAGCTGCAATAACAAATAGAAGGGGTACCCGAAGAAAGCCAAAGGGATATAACGGCTCTATTCGGCTCCATGTTGCTTGCTATAGAGGTAAAACTGTTTCATTGTTGGAATGTCTCATCTCATGCACGCTTCATTGTCTGCAATAGAGGTAGAGCTGCATTGATATTGTATCTATTAATCTGGGTGAACCAGGGCTGTGGTCGTGAAAATCCACAACACGCACACACACACACACACACACACACACACGCACACACGCACACACACACACCCACACCCACACCCACCCACACCCACCCAGCCACCCACGCACCCTGTTTCAATCAAATCCAATTACTTATTCCGTTTGACTATATGGCATAATGGCAGGTGCTAGTATTTTTCTATTCCTCGTATTGCTCCTGTATATCAACATGCTTCCTGTTATCCGTCGACTCATTGAGCATAAGCTCTTCTGAAGACAAAATACTAAAATAGTTATTTGCTAATCCTCTTACTGCTCCTGTACATCAACATCGTTCCTATTATCCATCAACTCGTTGAGCATAAGCTCTTCTGAAGACAAAATACTTAAAATATTTACTTCGATGATTTTTTATCATTTTTATGATTTTATCCCATTTTTACTGTGCGCCATGGGTGCCCCATCTCCCCCACCCTTGCCCATCTCTTTTTCCAACCCCCTATTTTCGGCAGAGTGCACATGCAGCGCATGTTGTGTGTGCGCGGCATGTCTGCATTTCACACACGTGTGTCTTCCACCACGAGTATGGTGAGCGCATAAAAATTGAAAATGACAAAATGTTGACTTAGTATGAATGCAGAAAGTTGAACATTTTGAGTTGAAAGGGGACCAGTGTACTCTCTCGTGATGTGCCGGCCCTGCTGGGTATTAAGAAGAACTGATTTTTTTTTATTTTATTTTTTCTGTTTGTGTGTGTGTGTGTGTGTGTAGAATAACAGCATATTCTGTCATGAAGTGTCCTTCAGCACATCGTTTAAAATTAGAATTTAGAACAATACAGAGAACTGAGAGAAGATCAGCATGACCCCTGCGCAAACAAAGATGACACACATAACTTGAGAGAAATGGTCCCAGTATTTTTTGTTTTGTTTGTTAATTCTGTCATGAAGTGCTGGATACAAAGAACTGGCAAAAGTGAAAAAGGGAAAAATAAAAATAAAAATGTCATGAACCCCTAAGCAATGTCAGCATTCAAAAGACAAAAAAAGGAGAAAAGGAGAAAAGGAGAAAAGAAAAAAAGAGAGCCTGTTTGTTGACGTTGACTGCTGTCATCGTTTTTTGCAAGATGGTATGCGATCCGGGTGAAAGCATTTTGGGACGGCACAGCTGACACCCATCCAGGAACACCATCTAGAGTTGTTCAATATGCAGGTATGTTTTTTTTTTTTTTTTTCAATTTTTGTCTTTTTTTAATTTATTTTTTAGATATGATTTTCTTTTTCAATAGACAAAAAAAAGAAAAAAAAAGTGAATAGTAAAATAGTAAAGAAAATGAGTAAATCCGTTTTTGAATTTTGGATGCAGGTATGGTTAGCAAACTTAGCATAAATAAACTTCACTTAAGTTCATGTGCTCAAGTTTGGGTTGCTTGGTAAGTTGCTGAGGCTTGAGCTGACTTGAGTCAGTTTAGGTTGGCTTGTGTGAGGATTGAGCCCTAAAGAAGGGGCCTTGCCATGATGTACATGTTCTGGGCTAAGGCCCCAGCAAGCCTAGTGCCCGCCCTAAGTGAAGGCGGACAAGAGCCCTCTGTGCAAACATTTCACGAAGTGGGGTCCATACAGTTGCAGCACGCCAGTTGGTTGGTGTGCACCGAGTATCGGAGCTCTGCAAATGCAGAAATCCCAGGGCCCCGAGTTGGTTAGGCCCTGGGCACATAAACGTGAGGCCGACAATGCATGCTGGATATAGAGGCCGAAAATGCCAAAGGGAAACCGGTCCACTATCTGAATCTGGCCGCAGGCCTTGACGAAAGAGGCGCGACTGCATCTCCTGGGCCACCAACTGCATCGGGCCTGGGTACAGGCACTGGGGCCCAGGCACAGGCTCAAGGGAGGCCGCCCACACGCAACACTGGCATATAGGCAAGCAGGGCGAGTGGGAAGGGATCTTGGCCATTGCGGGCAATGCCGGCACGCTGCGCGAATGCGAGCTGCTGCACTGCGCTAGGCTGAGGTGCGAGACAGGCAGGCGCTAGGCGGTAGGGCGCTGCCTGTACACAGGGCGCTGGCAACCATAGCCGGGCTGCCTGAGGGCGCAGGAGAGGTGAGGGCGAAGGTGGTTCTTCGGAGGTGAAGGGYGCTGTGTGGGATAACAAGGGAGAGTGTGGGTGAAGAAGGAGATGTACCTGGTGGAGGTGGGAGGTCGGCATTGGAGTTGACATCATCACTCGCTGGTCGTCAAGTTGTCTGGTTGCTTTCATACTGTAGTTGTAGTGTTAGGCTGTAGAGTAGGTAGGGCGCCTGGCGCCATTCAAGAGAGAGAGCTACATTGGGTTATGCTGTTGGTGTTGCCCTGTTGGGCTTGGACATTGACTCACGATTCTTCTGTATCGTTCTCAAATGGATGGTTACTCGGTTCCATTGTGCTATCTGCTCTTGCTTTGACTACTTGGACTTCAGTGTGATTTTGCAATCTGGATTTCTGTGCTTCGTCCATATTCATGTTCCTTTCACTTGGGTCCATGGTGCTTCATACGTAACCTTTTTTTTTTTTTACCTTTTGTTTTTGGTTCCTACGGGCTCCAAGAAGTTGACTGGGTACGTCCACATGGTGGCGGTACTGCGCGCATTCGTAACATTTGTGTTGGCAGCCGTGTGGCCAATTTTAGAAATGGAAATAGATTGAAATAGCCTTCGTCGAGTGACAAGAGACAAAATAGCAAAATACTAAAATAGCCTTGTCATAATGGCTCTGCCTACCCTCTGCAGTGTGCAGGTGCAGGATATTCACCCACCTGATTCTCATAGTGGCCTCGTAAGCTTCTGACTTGGCTGTTTCTGTGACATTTTGTCTCTCAGCAACCTGCTTGTGCTTGTGTCGCTCTCCTTCCTCATAATGGAAGACATGGCCGACAAGTAAGCAAATACAAGCGAGATGTTCTTCAAAATAATATCCTGATTGTTCGGGTGCACCTGAGTAGAAATGTGGGTCAAATTACTGTGGCTTGTCAGGCATATGAAAGTCTCTCTGCATGTGGGTTCAAATTACTGTGGCTTGTCAGGCATATGAAAGTCTCTCTGCATGTGGGTTGCAGCACGTGTTCTTTTGCCAGTGTGGAGAGAGAGAGAGAGAGAGAGAGAGAGAGAGAGAGAGAGAGAGAGAGAGAGAGAGAGAGAGAGAGAGAGAGAGAGAGAGAGAGAGAGA